CCAATTTTGCAATTCCCATTGCCTGCTTTCAGTACTAATGGGTATTTTATATATTTTCACACGAGGCTTTTGCTCACTTTCATAAAGTGTCATTAGGATTATTCCCACTGAGGAGGAAACATTTGCACAGGATGGGTAGCACTCTGCCCACAGAATGGCAGTGAGTCTGATAATACAGACAAAACTAAAAATTAGGGGCCCTGGCTCTGCCTCCCTTCCTAACCAGCAAGATAATAATAAAGAAGACAAGTCCTAAACTTTTTCAAAGTGCTCTTCACAAAGGATTTGAAGAGGAAAGTGGAACTAACCTCCCCCTCCCCCTAGCAATTTAACACTAATCTACAATGTTAAAACTTATTTTTTAAGGTTTTAGAAAAAAAATTCTAATGTGAAACTGCTTGATACAATGGGTCCATTTTTCCTTCAGTTTTCTCCTGTGAATTATCTTCTATTTTTAGGTCTTTTATTTTTAGGCTGCTGCATGTTACTGCTGGGCAGCCAGACCAACTACTAATTGGAAAGGTTTGTTTCTCATGCAGTTTTGTTTCCTTGCTTTATGTACCGCTTGGTCCGGATTGTCCTCGGAAGAGATGCAAGCCACAAGACAGCACATTCAAAGGCCTGTTATAAGCTGTCCTCAGAGGCACAGTGGGGCTCTATTCCAAACCTTTTGCTGCTCTCTCCTCCTACACCTGCGTACGTTTGTGTCTGTGCGTGCATTTTTCTTAAGGCATGTCAAACTTGATGGAGTATTAGGGCCATATGGCAGCAGTTCAGCAACCAAGCAGGCACAGCAAACTCTCAGTGTGCAACTGATATTAAAGGACTCCCTGAGCATATCCAGCAGAGTCCCGTGACAATAACTGTGTGCCGTATATGGTGCTTAACAATGGCAAGTAGATCCAAATGATCTGACATGGGCAAGGGTGGGAGCTGAAAAACCCAGCAAGGCACTTCACGGCTGTAGATCCCAGCATTTTTGGCAGCTGTGTCACAGACTGTCTTCGAGGTGCTGTGCCACTGAGCCAAGTTGGAAGCTGAACTTACAGCACGGTATACGATCATAACCTCTATTTTTAATACTATTGTCGCTATCTTTTTCAGTAACCTAGACAACAGCAAAAAACTCAGTTCTTCCCAGTTTCAGAGCACTGTTAGAATAGTTTGAACTACTGTTCAAACTGAAGTCAGTGGCAAAGCACTTACTAAATGGGTTGGGAATAGAATCAGTCCCTGTTCAAATGACATTTCAGTTAAAGGGACTTAACATTTTCTAGGATATTTAACTCTGCAAAGCTTACATGCCTTTGCAAGAGGCTATCACTTTAAAATCCTGGCTAAAAATATTTGCTGTATCTGAAGTCAGATGAATAAATCCTCCCTACTGTTGGGTACACAGTGTGGCAGAGTACAATACAACTGCAAATTTATTTGTTAGAAACTGTACATCTGTTATGATTTACGCTTGCCAAAATATAATTCTTTATGGCAACAATTGTTTCATGGTGCTTAAAGTTTTTCACCTCTGTGCCAGGAATCTCATATGGGATAATTCCATGACCTTGGAATCCAACAGATACATTCCACATCTGTCTAGTCTGGGAAAGCCTGAGTTTGTTGTGTGAAAAGCATAGTGGGAAAATAAGACCTGGAAATATCTGAAAATACAGAAGCTGCAGGGTTACTTCTTTTCTCTTTTTTAATTAACAGTTTCAAGTGCAGTAAATCAATTTCACAAAAGTGATTATTTTGTTTTTTCAAGGACACAAGCATTTCGGTTCCCATATGCAAATTAAAAAATATGGTAAAACATTAAAATAATTGTATCTCTGGAAAAAAAATCAGTTTTTAAATATTAGAACTAAATCTTGATGGAGACTGCTTATGATTCAAATGAAAAATGAAGCATACAACTTACTGCAAGCAAACATCTTGCTGGTGCCTATGAAGATATAGGATGGCAGAAAAACGGCAGTTGTCCTGGAATCTCAGGGATATACTTTTGTCACTAGATTTTTAACAAAAAATAAATCACACACAGCTTTCTGAGCCAGGTTTCCTGTGGCTCTCCCTTGTGTACATTTTCTGTTATTCTAATAATTTGGCTGAGCTCCTGCTGCAGCCATTCCCTCCATGGCGCACTGTAGTATTTTCATGCACACAGCCTGCACCTCAAATAACCTGTACCCTACTCTGATCTGTGCAACACTGGAGGCAGGAGAGAAATGTCAGGAAAAAAAGGTTATCCTAAGAAAAAAGGGAAAAAGATGCATGTGCTTGCTTGACAGAAAGATGAGACTAAATATTCTTGTTCATGCTAACCAGAATGATATTCCTGGTTTAAATCAGGAACTGCTTTTCTGATCATCATCCAGCCTGGAAGTCTCCCTTTCAAAAAGAAGTTTAACGATTGCACTTCAGTTTGCAACTCCTGAAGGCGTCAATTCATCAGCAGGCTATGTCCTTCTGCAGGACCAACATACTTAGAGAGTTGGCATCGCAAAGCCATGTCACAGAGGAAGGTAGTATTGCAGGCTAACCAAGAACGAGCAATTCATTTATCAAGTTCATACAGAACTCTGCTAAAAATTTTAAATCCATGTGAGTCTTAGAGAACCTTTTTTAATAGAGGTCACAAGATCCCACTTGGAACCAGTATTTGTGATGCTCATGATCTCTGTGAGTGCACCAAATCTTTATAAACTGGCAACTGATTTTTCTAAGGCATGTCATGGACAACTATCATTTATAATAAATTAGCATCTTGTCCAAAAATTCTGCTGCAAAGTTTAGCTCTGTACTATTGGACACAGCGTTCTGGTGCTACATGAAATGGTTTTTGTGTATATCGCAGCCAAACAAATTGGCAACATTTGTACAGTGTTTTGGATTATAAGGTCACAAACATCAAAAAATATGTGAAAGAAGCTAATGACTTTTCAACGTATTGTGACAACAAACCAGCCAAAATTACTTTCAACCAAAGTTTGCAAAATAATGTGTTCCTGGCGGCTCACATCACCTCTCCTGCAGAAAAGTTTAACATCAAAGATGTAAACTCCTGTGCAATCGGGTTTAAAATATGAACCTTGAAATACGTCTGAGCAGGCGTAAATACTACTGCCACCTAAAAAATAGTTCATACTGGATATTCATTCTTTAATGCAGAAAAATATAGGCAATTTCAAAAGTGAGAAATCATGCTAGACTTAAAGTGGAAAGGTGAGGTGGGCAGATTCTTTATGATTAAGCAGCATGCAGTGCTAATACTTTTCTACCCACTCAAGTCATAACAGCTGTTCCTTCAAAAGAGGGAAAATAAAGGCTGTTGGTAATTCTTAAGCAAGCTGCCAATTTTCCACATGGGATTTGATGGCTAAGAAAATCAGGTTTTCCTGTAGTCTCAAGCTGCTGCAAGGAGTAACAGGACATCTAGTAACCCTAGTAGAAATAAAAAATCTTTATATCCAAAGAAGAGTTATATTTTCTAAATTCTTCTTATATACGAAACATCTTATTAATGAAAAAACTCCCTACCTAATATCTAGTCTCTTTGTTTTTCAGGCACTCTTTTATTGTTTTGAAGCAGTACTGCTTGTCACATATTTAAAGACTGTGATATGCAGGTGCAGTTCTTCGCACTGACAATTTTGCGAGCATTAGAAGAGAAACTAGGTTCATAGATCAAATACGTATTTCAGTGCCAGCATCCAACACTCAAGAAGGAAAAAAAGAATGGAATTTTAAGTGTCAGATGTTGATTATGAACCACATTTTGGCTGCCCTGGATAGAGGCGCCTGCCCAAAAATTCACAGATAAAGAGAAAGCAAAGGAAAACCTATTGGCCTCTAAGTCATTTGGAATGGGTGTTGTACAAGCCCTTTACATTGTTTTAGTGGGGCACGGTCTCTGTCTTCCTAAATCAGAACATACCACTCTGGTCATGGCTTGGAACCACAAGAAGTTTTCTACAGACATACAACTGGATCCCAAACACAGTGTTATCATCTTCATTCCACTGATTTGACCTGCTTTGTCCCACAGTGAGGGACTCGGTTTATCTAGTAGCCCTTGTGCCACCACTGCCTTGTTGCTGGTCACGCAACATCTGGCTTGGGATTTGCGCTTGAACTGTCACCACACAAAGCAAAAAAGCCATATGCTGATCACTCCCAGACGATATATTTGTGTATGAACACTCAGAGCTGGTACTGAAAAACATATGCCCAAAGCTCCTAACTCAATACATATACAATCATACACTAATGCTTCCTTGTTATCCTTACTCTGAGCTTCTATCAGCCCTTTTTATAACTTGTTGTATCACAGTGTCTACGCATTTGTGTAAAACACAGAGGATTCAAATATTTATGTCAGAAGAGGGAGGAAAAATCCCATCAACATCTGTTTGCAGAAGTGACATGGTGGAACTGAAGTGTCACATAATCTCCCCAAAAGATGTCATTATTTTCAGCTGCCTGACAGATCCGTCTGCCTGTGTAAGAGTAAACAAGAATATGGCTCAGTCATTTGGACTGAGTTTAAGGCCAAACAAAGGAACAAATGATCCACTTTCAGATCAGGTCTCCTGCTACAGTCTACAAATGTTCACTTGTGATTTGCCCTGTAAGTAGTGCCTTTGGGAACAATGATCAATGCACTGCGTAGCTAGCCAGCCTTGTTAAACGTATTGGCTATTTGGAACAAAAATATCTCAGGGAGAAAACAAACCTTCAAACAGCAAGTACACTAGACACCCCTCCAAATTCCTGAATGTCTTCAATTTTCCTGGAGATCAGGGATCGTCCCACTCACTTCATACATTTCCACAGGACCAGGGATTGACCTCATTTGAATTTTGAGTAATTCTCTTGATTTGAGTGGAGTTACTTCAGATTTATGATGAAGGGAAAGTGATTAAACTGAGACCAAATGACTTTAATATAAAGCCTTGATCTTTACCAGGAAAAGACGCAGTTTTTCATGAAGCCAAACTTACCTCTGTAATAATGAAAAAGTCATCTCCAGGCTCTCCCTGCACGACAATCTTTTCTCCATCTTCAAACTGGACAGGTTCCAGTGCATCAGCCACTGTCAGACGTTCCCATTTGTCCAGGGACTCTAAAATATTGAAGATCATAAAACTTTATTATAAAAAGACCCTAACTTTGGCTGAAGATTCCTATTTAAACTGGCAGCTCTGATATGCCTGGTTCTGTTATAAAAGAAATATCATTTCTTTCATCCAAGCATTTTGCATGAACCTCCAGTTGGAAAGATGAATGTATTTATTCATTGTATCTTAGAACTTGTAATCTTAAAAACTGGACAGGAAAAGTTGCCTACAGTTCCCTAAGCCTGGGATCTCTAGTGACCTGATGCTGCAGTGAACTAGAGCAGCCTAGGAGCTGTTCTAATATACCGGTGACCGGGAGACCTGAGAGGGATACCTCTTACCGCGTCCCACACCAGGTGTCAGAACAAGTCCTACTCCCTTTTTGTTAAGAGTTAACTCTCAGCCTGTTCGATAAGCGCTGCTGAGGTGCCAGTCCAAGAGAAGACTCTTCCACCAAGGTTGAAATCACTCGCCATCGAAGGTAAGAGCTAACTCATCTCAGCGCAAGTGGCAATCAGAGCAGTCATCATATGGCTGTATAAAAGTCGCGCCTCTGTTTCATTTGCAATATTGGCCAGTAGAACTGCAGTTAAAGTGCATGAGCTGTTTTTCTTTTCATTTCCGCATTTAGACAGAAAATGCTATAAAACTTCAAAGTAAATTTCCATAAGAAAATATTAACTGTTTTATGAATAATGGAACGAATGAAGCCTGGTTTCCTTTGGCTTTGTGTCCTTTTCACCTACCTGCAGCAACCACAAATCTCCTGTGATACCCACATGGCAAAATATAGTCTGTGCTGTAGCTAGTCCAGGGCTGCTCACTGACCAGTTGGCATCTTCCCACTGCATCATCTAATGGATGAATTCTACCTGTTCTTCCCCCGGGGACAGGAGAGGTGCTAATCTGTATCTCTCTCTCCTACCCATCTGCATGAGAATTCAAGACAATGACTTATATTTGAACTTCTGTCCCTTTATCAGATTTGACTGAAAGAAGCAAACGGTTTAAAAGATACTAGAAGAAACAGATAACACAACGGCATAACCTTCACTGCCTTAAGAGGTTGGGCTAAAAATTCATGTGCTACTCCGCTGAATCTTACTTATCCTATTATGAATTTCTGAACAACTGTAAGTCAAGAGACTGCTGACATCAAGACTGGATTTGGCCTGCTCTCTCAAGCTCTATTTTTCTCTTCCTGTTCCAAAACAGTACTTAGAAGTCTTGTGGGGAGGTAAAGAGGTTGTTATTTAAAATTTAAAAAGCCTTTTGGCTGAACTCTAAAGTGTGCACTGGATCTAACAAAACTAGATCAAAGTGATCAATGTCCTAATGGTAAGTCGCCTGACACACATACATCTTCTTATCTTTATGCTATTTTCTGTTGCTTTTTGGAAAATAATTTTTTCTAGTATTTTCTCACCTGCAATCACTAATGCACTTTCCCAGTACATGTGTGGTCTTTGCTGCAGAAATAGTAGTACCAAACACCAAGCCCATAAGAAACATATTGTAAATGCAGCATTCAAAAAGTGCACTGATTGACTAAAAATATGCATACAACTTTTATACAGATTAGATTAGGCTTTCTCTTTTTTTTTTTAAGAGCTCGGTAACTATCAACGAAAATAAAGAGTCTCTTCAAACTTCTTCTTCAGTTGGCTTTGTGAAAAATTCAAAGCTAATTCTAGCTCCAGTCACGAAATGTCTCTCTTTTGTCTAAATGAATTGTACCACTACAAATACTTTGGTTAATGGTTCTTGCAAACAGAGCATTATATAGAAGATATTACATGACAAAATTCTTAGTTTTAGTTTTAGAGTTGCAGAGTTAAAGCTTTAGTTTTAGTTGCAGAGTTAAAGACTAAATAAAGTAAACCATACATTTTTTGTAATTTCTAAATTGTATATACAGATTTACAGCTTTACATTTAATTAAGCTCCAGAGGAAAGACTTTAAAGGGTTAATTTTTTCATATTTTGTTAGATACACTGCAAATAGTGATTGATATCTAAAAAATTCTTATATTAGAAAATATTACTTTTACAATTTTATAGCTAACTATAGACATTTGGTAGGCCTAGAAAAAATATATAAGAAACAGGTAGAGGTTTATTCATCAAAAAATCACTAAGTTCTCATTATATTAAGGTATGAAATGAAGTTAATTTCTCAGTACTACGTTGAGATCGCTAAAATACCTTTCAGTTTGCCAGCTGTAATCTACTTTTCAGGCATGTGAAATATATCCTTAAACATTTCACTTAAATTCTCAACCTTCCTGAAATGATGCATTATATTGTTTTCTGTACTTAAAAAAGGCTCAAATCTGAAGTCTTTACTCCGTTTTTACTGAGATTAAAAACCCACACTATAAACTAGGATATAATTACATTGCAAACTGCATGTTTAAGGACGCTCATCTCTGAATAACCTTTCTACTCTGAAATTGTTTTGAGATGTCTCATTATTGTAATTGCTTCTCATTAGTGCAGGTGCAGAGATCCTTTTTTTCTTTAAATACTTCTTGTAATTTGGTATAATTTGTGCTCTTCATTTAGGAAGATTTAAATTAGGCATAAAAGACAGCATTTAAATGATGAAAATTTCATTATTAAGTGAGCAACATACTTGACCTTACTTTTAGCATACAAACATAACTGAAAATGTGATGCATGGCACCTCTCAGGAGGTCAAGTATATTTTCACCAAGACTCTTGTATTTTTATATTTGAGGCACATAAGCCGAAATGCTAGAGGAATACCATAAATAAGAAAATAAAATTGTTTAAATAGAAATATAAAGACTTTAATTATATAGTAAATTATAACTGTTTTTCAAAAATAGCCCAAGTAGAAACATGATGCATTTCCTACAGAATCAACATTTCATTTTACTGGCTAACACTGTCCTCCTTATTAGAAGTTTTTGTTCTCCTAATGGTGATTGATTGGTCAGGCATTATGGGTTTGTTGTTTTTCCTACTGAAGGCCATCAAGAACATGTCCAAATTTCGTGGCTATCACATTAATCAAAGGGAAACAAAATCTAAGGACAAGAAGCTAAACAGATGTGTTAAGAATGTGAGACAGGGGCTGTAAAAGACACAGGAGAAAAAAATTCAGTCCATTTTGATTTGTGAGGTTAGCTTGCTTAACACACACAAATACAGTATTCTTGCAGGAAAAAGCTTCTCAGTTGTCACCTGGAAGGATGTAACTGCATTTTATGACCAATTCGTATCTCTCTGTACTCTATTCTCTTCTACCCATATGTGATTTTTACTCAGCGTCAGCTACTGAAAAGTTACCCATGCGTGCCTGCTCGGGTATGTCAGGAAAGATTTGCCTTTCAAATAAATGGATGGTGCATATTAAGGAAGGAGAAAAACAACTCCTAAAAAGGGCCCTTTACACTCTCATTCCTTAGCAAATGATGCAACTGTGAGATCTTCTGTTTGACCACTGCTTTCATCATCCCATCAAAGACCAAAATCCATCCAGCCAACATGTATAACAGAGGAACTAACACGCAAGTCCAAAGGGCAACTGACCCAAAATGGAGACCTTGCTCAGGAATTCTTCATACATCTTCCGCTTCCTCAGTGTGCTGCCCTGTTATTGAAGGAGAGAGAGAAAGAAGGTGGAACATTATACAAAGTATTTTTGTGATTTCTTCCTACAGCTGCTCTCTTTTTTTTCCCCCCCTTCCAAATCTTAAGCATAGCCAGTATAAACAGCCTAAGGCAAATGTTTCCCCATAAAATGTCTGGGCAAGTTGTAGTCCTGATAAGCAGAAGGAATCAAATTCAACCCTGGTGTAATTTCACTGACTTCACTGGTGTTACTGGACACCAAGGATGAATTGTGTCCATTATTTACAGACACTCATTTTAAAGCCAGAGCTTCATCAATTAACTGTTTAGCTAATTCAATATATATCTTGTTACCAATGAGGCCCTACTAGAAGGGAATTTACAATTACAAAGTAGGATAAAACTTAAAATGTCCCCCTCAAGGGTCCCATTCTTTTAGATTTAAACCTTTTTAACGCTAGAAGTGTTTGTGTGTATGCAAGTGTTTATATTTTGTACAGCACTGTATATATTGCTACTGCTAAGCAACCTATTCATATTATTATTGTAATATGATTTAAGCAATTTGGAGCACACAATCCATCCACATACGCATAGCCACCAGCACAGTCGTTCCTAATCTAGTAACACCTTTTGAGTGATAGATAACTGAGAAAAAGTACGCTCGCATAGTGTTTGATGCCTACAGAAAGAAACTGTATGCAGCCATCCCCAAAAGCACTCTTTGAAGGAGACTGAGTTATGAATAAATACAGTGCAATTTTACCAATACAAACATAACTCATCCTTAACTCCTGCTGCCGCAACACAAATAACTTGAAAAGAAAACCTCCCTGGGGGGACCAAAGAGGGATCCTTGCTGCTCCCATGTGGTTTATGCCGTGCAGTTAGGTGACAGCCCACAGCACTTCTGCCTGGGGAGATCCTGTCGAAGGTTGCCTGGTGCCTGCTAGTCAAACTTAAAAAGCAGGAGCACGGCATAAAGATGATACACTCATCTTTGGTAGAAAGGGGAAATGAAGATGACATTTACTTACAGCCTGGGCAGACAAGACAGAAGCAAACGTCAGTGTCTGCCAGAGACAAAAAACACTTGCAGTTCACCCTCCACTGTCAAGGTAACAGAAAGGCTAGAAGTACAAAAACGGGCAAGGCTACTGCATTCAAGTGCAGTGATATAACTAAGAAGTAAACTCCGTCCCTCTTCCTATGTGCACTGTTCAGGTGGGGCCTGATCTAGTGACCACCAAAGAAATGGGACTCTTTCCACCAGATTCAACAGGCGTTGGCTTCAGCTTCTAACAGCATCAGCAGAGGCTGCCAGGCGCTCCCCTCTGGGGGCTGCTATCGTTTGCACTTCCCCCTAGGCTACCTCTGCTCCCAAACAGTCCCAGCACTGGCAGAAGCTGCCACTCTGCCCAGGTATCTCTGAATCAGAAGCAGCACCAGCTACCGAGGTCTCCCCCTCTGCACCCCTTTCATAATTTCCAAGTGTGACGATGACTCTTCGCCTCCCAGAGATAGCATCGGTAACCCCTGTCTGACCTCGCTGTCTGACAAACCGGGTTCTCAACCTCGGAGGCCCCGAGAGCATTTGAAATGCCAGAAAGGAAAAATGAACTTCAAACGGAGGAGGCTCTGTGAGCCACGCCAAATCCTGACAGCTCACTCTGAGACAAAGAATGGAAAACTGGACCCGGTGCAGTTGCTGCTCTCCTCCCTACAATCCAGAGTGGAAACCAGACCAGCAAAATTGACAGCTGTGGAAAACCAGATTGGCGGTTTAGTTTGGTGGGCTGGGACACACAGGGACAGATGTGGAAAATGCTTTTAAAATGACTGTGGACACAGATGAATTTTAAGAAGCAGTAATCAGTTGCCATAAGTGTTGCCTGACCACAGCTTTGAGTATTTAGAGAAGCAGACGAGAACGGGGAAGGTAAGAATCCTAGGCCTCCTGGCCGGCCTGGAGAGCCAGAGCTCGTCACTTCCTACAGGAAAACGGGTGTGTTAGCTCTTGGCTAAACTAGGCCAGTGTAACGTGACGGAATCGACAGTGAAGACTAGTACGAAAGCTGAACTGAAATGGAAGGAATTAATTAAATGTCCTATTATCATTATATGCATGATGATAGTATCTAGAACCTTAGCTACGGTTGGGACTCCACTTAATGCACAGATTCACTGTCTCAAACATCCCATGTCTCAAAAAGATACCACAGACCAAGGTAAGTGAGGACAAATGCCCTGATGAAAGATATATGGAAAGTCTAAGGAAGAACTGGTGACTGAGAGGTAAGGATTGCATTTCCCAGCGTTTGCACTGAAACTTGACTGATGGCTCCCAGAGCCAAGCTACAAGAGGGCTCCATCCAACCTCCCATCGCTCCAGGAGGACACCAACAGCAGCTGCCAGGGTGGCATGAGCACCTGGCCGCACACCTCCAGCTAACGGTGCCCAGACATGCAACCAAGCTGCCTCTGCATTCTCACAGCATACCAGGGTGCATCGCATTGGTGCAACTTTTTTTCCAGAAAGAAAGAGTTTGGATCACCCTCACACACTCACAAGGGCTAGAGCATTGCTTTGTGTTCACATTAGTTCATTTTCTTGCTATAACTATCATAAGCGCAGTGAGGGGAAGCAATTTAGAGAGAACACTGCTCTAATACAAGTGAAAAAACCCAGCAGTAGAAATCTTACAAACAACCAAAGCATATTTTTATTTCCAGTGGTATTAACAACCTTGCTTCCACATGAAATAGGGAGAGAGCACATTTTGATCAGCCTAACATTCCCTCCTATGTGCTTAATGTCACCTCAGACTCCTGATTTACTTTTTACTGTTGCTTTATTTGGTCTAGTCACCTCACCCAGGCCATGAGTATGAAGACTATCATAGTGTCCTCTATCACCCTTCAAGTCATTTCCACAGAAGAGCCAACCGGTATGCTCAGTGGGACATGTGTGAAGTCTGGTCTTATGGTTCTAGACCATCTTTATGGTCTAGAAAATCAGACAGTAATGAAATCTGCAGACTGGGAGATATTAAGAAAGCTTGCCAGGACAGGAAAATAACAAAAAAGGACCTAGAGACGTTAGAAAAGGGAGTAGAAAATAACAAAATCAGCTCCTGTTTGGAAAATACAGCTAAGAGATATAAAGGAAAAAAAAATCCAAAGCACAGATATCTGATGAAAGGAAGAAGACTAGAAACTTGCAAAGCTGAAGAGATTTACAGGCAGTAGGTGAGACCTGGTTTGCAACATCCTGCTGCAACTAGAATACGGCCAAGGCAATTTTGGTCTCTATACTCAAAGACATCAAGAGAGAGTGAAGTACACAGGCCTCATCTCCATGGCTCTCAAGTGAGCGCACCTCAAGTGCTGCTCTCTGCCTGGGCAACTCCAGAAAAGCACCCCCAAACTGAACAGGGCCTGACGATCTACTAAAGCACTTGGGGAGAGCTGATAAGGAAGGAGCAAAGCAATTTCAGCCTGTAGAGTTTAGCTTAGCACTGGGATGATAGGTATGTCATGTTCATAGCTAGTGTGATTTGTTGTGAGAGTTTTAAGTAGACAGTGATAATCACCTATGGATACATCACAGAAAGAAAGGATAATTTAGTATAGCATAACTTGACATAACTCAGAGTAATAGGAGAAACTTAAGAACATGTAATTTAAGATGAATATCAAATAAGTTTTCTCAACTTAAGATTTGTTCTCTTGCAGAAGTTTCCCAAGGGAAGCAGTAGAAATCTTGCTGCTTGAGCCAGATAAAAACAATAGTAAGTGTACAAGAATAATTTTGTATTGGCAGGGCTCTTGATGGCATGTTCTAAAAAGTCTTTATTATTTCTGCTTTTTCTAGCCTATTAATACCTCCTTATTTCAATTGTCTCTGCTTCTCCCTCTCCCCACTTTCCTTTGTTCACCTTCTCGCCAGTTCTGAGCTGTCATGCACAAGCTCAGCTTCTTAAAGATAGTGGTTCCCATTAACAGTGAAGAGTCATTAATATGAGGAGTCATTAAATCCTAAACCACAATGTTCCTCCCAGAAACAGTCACAAGGAGAAACGAGACCATTTGTTTGCCAAATCTACCCAGAAAAGAGCTCAAAGCCATGTTTAGGAGCGCTTAAAATGTGGCAAGCCCTAAGCTTAGCTTAAGCAATACACAGGCTGTGAAATATGAATGCTACAGAGACTGCAACAGATCTTGTTGAACAGGACCAATCTCTTTTCCGTGAGTTTAGAGTGGTGCATCTATTTTTCCAGCTGTCCCTCCTTTACTTCCTCTGTTTTCTTCCACTCTTTCTTCTCATTCCTCCAGTCTGGTCTCTCTCTCTCTTCCCCTCTGCTCGCCTCTTTGCTTTGCCCCTCCAGCCTTCCTATTGTCTTCTCTCACGCTCCCTCTTTTTTGACTGTCCAGATGGGCTGGCTGGAGTTGATTGGGTCTTTCCTAGAAACCTCCGCCTTTAGCAAGAAGCCAAACAAATGGCTACCGAAAGGCAAAGCATGGCTCAAGTTTCAAATAAAAGAGTTATGCTGGCAGGTATGCAGCTGGCAGGAAGTGCCGGAATGGCCTTCTGGACTGCTCCAGCTCCCTCTAATCCCTGGGTAAACCCGATATTGAATGATGCTTAGAATGTACATTCTTACGGGAGCATGAAAAAAGAGAGTTACTGAAACAATGCATACTGGCCACATGAAAACAAAATACCCTGCAAGACCCCAGTGCTATATTGCACAGATGTGAGTTGGAATGCAGGCTTTGGATTTGCTTTATGTTTTGGCCACCATGCAACCTATGTATTATGGAAACATGAAGTCCTTCTGACTTCACTTTGCCTGAGTAGTAAAAAGCACTTGTTGAAGAACTTGTTCTCAGATTCAAAGCTGTGAAAGGATGGTAAAATAAAGCCAAAAAAGCATAAACAAAATCAGATATAACAGTAGGGACTGACTAACCTCGATTAGTCCTTATTTATATCCCAATAATACAACTCACTTTCTATAAGCAAAGTTGGCCTGCCCTGCTTCATACCAAGCACATGAATTAAAGTCCTGAAAAAAAAGGCTGATGTTGTGTACATCATATCAAAGGTCGGAAGGTACAGCTGACAAAACAGCTAATGCTGGATGGTTACTCTGGATGTGAAACAGGCAAAAAGTATTGTATCCAATGTGCCACTCCCCTCTCAGAGCCAGGTATCTTTGACCATGGGAACTAGAGGGTGGCAAAATTATCCTGAATCAGGACTTCTTATAGAAGAAATTACAAGAAAGTAATACATCAAATTTCCTCAGTCTGGGAACTGAACTGTCTGGGGGATCAATTTGATGTTGGGATACAGACATTTGCTTCTCTGGTATTTGTGGTATTTGCTATATTTAGAATACAAATATTGTACTACCCTGGGATGTTCCCCACTCTGCGATGCTCTTGAATCCCAGTTGCACAGACGAGAGAGTAGCATTTTAACAACAGAACTAAATGAGAATCCTAAGACAAAAATTCCTTTTCGTCTTACTCAGGGGATTGTAAATAAATAAATATAGCATACATACATATATATATATATGCGTGTGTATATTTGTGTATGCGAGCACACACACACACACACACACACACAACAAACAAAAAAAATGCAACAGCATGAAACATGCAAGCATCATAGCACAGATATTTTTATGAAATAGAGTCAAGTGTTTAATGACAAGATAAAATCTTTTTGGCAACCGTGGATCTGAAGAAAACATTTGCAAATAAATAGTTACAGCTTGCATAAAATGTCAACATTAGGCTGAGAAAATATGGGGCTGGTCACGGCCAGGAAGGAACGCAGACAAAAGAAAAACCTACCATTGGTTATGGAGTAGCTTTATCTTACTACAGAAAGAAAATTTATCTTTGGAGAAAAATATCATTGATCCCTTGGATAAGAGCATTTGCAAACAGGAAATCAAAAAAGCCCGGCTCCCTCTCAGTTTTCAACTAATCTTAATGATATATTTCAAAAGATATCCTAAACAGTACTACCTCTCATTTCAAGGCAGAAGTATTTCTACATCCCAAATACCCAGCAACTTTCTGGAAACATAAGGCTGGAGGCTAAACAGTAGGAAACAATGTTTCTGGGATTTGAAAGGCAGCTTTGCACCATTGCATTTTAAAAACTGAGTAAAGCAAAACCAGCCATGTAATACTGCAGATACTTTCAAGTATGAAACACAGTCACTGAAACATGATGTAACTAAATCCTGGGCTTGCAGAAGTGTGCAGAGAGAAACTGTAACCTGCTCTCACATAAACGCACGAGACATAGGTGTCTCATTCCACTTAAAGCCAAGAGACTATTCACACTGCACTTAAAAATAAATGAAAAGATGACAGAATCAGCACAGTCTGGATGAGTAAATTGCATCACAGTGGACAGCACTAAAAATTGAACATTTTCTATTCCTGCAGCAGTTAATTCACCATGCTACCTGCAATATTTGCTATTTTACTATTGGGAATACTACAATTACACTGTACGGCTATCTAATGGAATGCAGTAGACCTCCAATTTTTAATGGCCCACCTGTAAAAAAAAAAAAAAAGAGAGAGAGAGGGAGAGAGAGAGGGAGAGAAGAGAACCTCAGTGTTAAGTTGTTAAGTTGAAGTTCTCACTCACTGCAAAAAATGAGCTTGCTTGCTATGAACCTTGTCACTGGTTCAAAGAATATGCACAGGCATTTGGAAACCACTTACCCACTACACTAGAATCAAAGAGAAGTACAATAAATAATATTCAAGTTGTACATATGGCTAAAGCTAGCATTAAAAAGACTTTTCCACGTGAGATTTTAAGCCGTTATAGCAAAATCCTGTTTCTTCATCAGATACTCATCTTCTGAAGGCTGCTATCAGATGGTGATGGATGCATGACCAAACCTGAACAGCTTACAAGCTTGAATGACGTTAGGTACCACTAATTTCATCAGTGCTGAAAGCCAAATTACCTCAAGGCTACTAGGACTGTGAGTCTGTCCCTATTCTTCAGAAGCAAGACTAAAGGCATCCATAAGAAGCTACTCTTAAAAAGCCAATGAACATGTGACTTGTCCAGACATTTATTTCCCTCCTGTATTCCTTTTAGATACCTTTGAGTCTTCCTTGCAATATGCAGGTTGATCACACCAGTTATATTAAACACCTCTCCATAGCCTCCATGTAGGACACAGGATAAAGGAGCTAAGTGTGCTTCATAAATCTGTTAGGAAATTCTCTGGCCCTATGGTTTTGAAATATCTTGCAGAAATGTTTCAGTTACTAATACATGCTTCCCTTCAGTGGGAAGCATTCAAAAACTATTCACCCTGCTTATCCATAAAAGAGAAAATGGTCTGCTTCTCATTATTCTACCTCTATCTTGTCTTGGAGCTACCATCCTGAATCTTCTGGGATACACTATATTTCCATCAGACAGACTCTCCCAGACTCAGTGTGCCAACTGGGATATTCATCTCTGTGGTACAGAACTTTGTCCATGAAATATAGAGTGAAAAGCAGTAACATTTCATAAAGACATCCAAAAGTCATCAGATAGTATAAATAAAGATGGCTTTTACACGCTGTCACATATGAACTAATTATTCAAATGTAAAATCTACTCAATTCTTTTGCTAATTTTTCTGTTATCCATGACATCGTTGGAACTATGCACAATCTCAAAATGCACATTCCTTCATTACTCTGAGAAATAGTACAGTTTCCTCCAGGTCTGAATGAAACAAAGCAGCTTTCAGAGTCAACTCCTACTGAGAAAGAGGCTTTAAATAAAGTTCTGTCTGTAAATTATCAAGAAGAAAGAAATATTTTATGGAGAAGGAAAAGATATGCACACTGACATCAGAAACAAGCTGTCATAAAAAAAAAGTTAAGACATTGCTAAAGTTAATTATCTGCCAAAATTTCCATTATAAGCCCACTACTCAAGAACTGACAGCAAATCCATAGTCTAGCACACACTCCAGATGCCCAGAGGGTCTGTTGAGCTTTACTGTAGAGACTGGGGAGTTTGAAAGGAGTGGAGCCATGAATTGTTAGCAAAGACTCTCCGCGGCTATGCATCCTATCAGATGTGTGGCTGTGCGCTGACTAGCAGAGATGGAGTGCGTGGTCCCACTGAGACTTTTAGCAGACCACAATTTCCCTAGTATCACCTGCCTAGAAGAGTTTACAGTACCAGTTCAAAGACTATGCAGGCCAGGGGTAGTGCTGAAAGACATTTAGAGGTTCATGATAAGAAGGAGAGCATGTGCATTAGCTCCGGTGGATAATGGAGGCCTCCTGAAGTTTTCATAGTTCTAAGCACTTACTCATGTATAATAGTTATTAACAATGTTACTCAAGGGGATTTCTGACTTGGCATCTTTCTGCTGAATCTTATCACCTTTTATTTTAGTTTACCTAATTTAGTGTCATAATGTTATTGTCACGTACTCTCTATTTTATTTCGAAACATAGACTGCAGAGCTTTCTATCATAAACGTAATTTGAACACAGAATAGAAGTGCTGTGCGCAGTTCTGGCACTACGAAAGAAACTAAAAAATATCAGCTCTATGAACAAGTCATTCTCCATAAACTTACCATTAAAATGCGTCTGTAGCTGTCTCTGTCGATGCCCCAGAGTTTGAGATCTGTCTTGGCCTTGACCGTAGCAGCCCTGGGTGTTCCATAGATCAGCGCAAGCTCCCCAAAGCTACCTCCTTCTCCAATGCTGGTGACCCACTCTCCATTGACATAAACCTAATGCACAAAGCAGAGAGAGAAGCAAAAACAATTTGGAGACTTGCAGTTTTCCTCCTACTGCCAGTTACCTAAAAAGCTATTAGTAATTTTCTTTCTAATAGTCAATGCTGGAGATGCAGATAGAAAACAACAGCGTAACAGTTTCCTCGGTCAGCAACAAAAGAGGGCAACAACCTGCTTTGTGGACAGAATTTCAAGTCATCTTGCTTCAGTACAATGACTGTATTTACTCTCTGAATTTTCAGCTCCCATGGTTAACTGGCATCAAGTTTTCCTTCTTGTGTGCAAGGCTCAGACAATCGACAAGCAGAACTGCCACAACTTCGGCTTTTTATTAACACTATCAGACTAGAAAGGAAGGAGATTTGTTGATATGTGTAATGAGGTTTGCTGAAAAACACTATGGCCATGATGAAAAACAATCAAAACAAGGAGACATCTTCTGAAAAGGACCACTTTTTTCTTCTCTAAGCTTTGTGCCTCCAATAGCAATGTAAGGATAACTATCGAAATCTCTCTCTGCCTTAGTGTAGAGTACTAAGTGCTTTGGATTTGAGAAGACAGAATTAACCTTTGTCGTTAACTCATGCATCAGTTCTACAGAACTTAGGAAGCGATATTTGACCCATAGCCTTTTTAGGTAACATATCCTCCCAAAACGCAGTACGGATTGATACAGCTAATCACAGCATTTCTCCTGGATGACATATAATTTGAGTAGAAGTCTTACACTTGCGAGCTATGTATAACCTCCACGGGAGAAAGGGGGACTTGCGCAGGTGCTTCACATTGGGCTGAATTTTCCTCTCTATTCATGGACAATATGAGAGGAATGAGACATAATAGTGTATTCTAAGACTAGTATGGATTGTGTATTATGCAGCTTGCTTGTAGTCTTGCTGCTATAAACCTACACAATAAGCCCTTTTCATTCTGTTAATGTGACAGTGAGTTTAAGGAGTAGGAAAGGCTGTGTGCATTTATCCAATGCAGAATATATCCCAGTGTGTTACAGACCAAACACAACAGCAATCAACTAGAATGAATTCCATTTGTTTGGCAGTTCATGAAGAGAAATATTACCCAAAAAAATGCAGGTATACTAATTTTAAGCAGGAAACTATGGCAAAGGAAGAGATCATGACCTACTACCAATTACTAAGTGACAGACAAACAGATTTTAAAAATATACAAACTAAGGCTATGTTTAAGCTAGGTACAAGAAAAGATGATGAGCAAAACAAATGAACTGGAGTCAAAATTCAAAGAAGCATCAGTATTAATTTTATTTCTGTCTTCGTTTTATGCTGAAAAGATATGTTATGAACTACAGATGAAATCAATCCCAATTTACCTTCCCAACATCCAATTAAGATCTGACCCAGCTCCTGCTGAGCTTAGTTCAGTAGGAGCTAGATGAGGCCGTGGAGCAGTTCAGCTGATCGAGAGACCTCTGGGATGACTGTAACAGCTGAAAAGGAGCAGTATTAGTATCACTGCTCAGCTACAGATGAACTTGTGGATCTTTGTGTTACTGGAGGATCTGAGGATCAAGAGGCTGAAATAAAGGGCAAAAACAATCCAAAATAGGCAGGTAGTAGCAGAACTGCCAAGAACTGCCAAGACTTCAGGCTGCAAAAGTTGTTTGTACCTTAATTTTTTTTTCCACTGTAGAATGAGTGTCATGTAAGACATGTAGGAGAATAGTAACAACATTTCCTTTCAAGCTTTTACAGGCACTGCAAAAAGAAAATCTCACAGCATATTGAGTCTACTTTTGATTCTCCTCATGATGAAACAACTGAAAGCAAGAAAAGTTTTAAAAATCCCTGACAAACCCAAGCACTTTGCTGGTATGTGAAACAAGCAGCTGGTACTGTAAGTCCTGCATCCTGTTTGTGAAGGAAAAACAGGAAAAATGGATGAATAAAATGAGGATTCTGAAAGGCTGGTAACTTAATGAGCATTTATGATTTTTTTTAGATTCAACTAATACACTGCAGAACTTGCTAGATGTGTATTTGAAAGTAGGGGTGCCCTCTTACTGTGAGGCATTTTACTGGATGGACCAAGTAGTTTGCTACAGTAAAGTAATTCAGGTCCTCATTAAAAATCTGAGCCAAAGTCTTAGGGCCAATGGGGAAAGTAAAAGATTTTTATTGAGTTTTGAACCAGATCCTGGGTGGGTCGAGCACCCTGTGAGTCACTGCTAGGCAGAGGCCTATATAGGAGCCAGGCCTAGAGCACAGCAAACAGAGGCAGCAGTGCCTGGGCTCTGCTTGGGCCTTTTGTGAACCTTGTTGGAAGTTGTGAAGGCTTTCTGGGGACGCCCGAAGAACTAGACAGTGCTTGCTGCTAGCAGGAAAGGAGAGCTAGGCAAGGACTCCTGCAGGGGACCTTGACTTAACTTCTCCTGGGAAGTTCTAGCTAGGCGTGGCTGCTGCTAACGAGCTCTCTGGGTTGCCCTCGTCAGAGGGAGTTGGGGCTTTCTGATTCAGGTGGCTCTTGATTGGGTGGGTCAAGCACCCTGTGAGTCACTGCTAGGCAGAGGCCTAGATAAGAGCCAGGCCTAGAGCACAGCTCCTAGAGGCTGAAGAGAAGGCTACAAAGATGATAAGGGGACTGGAGCATCTCTCCTATGAAGAAAGGCTGGGAGAGCTGGGCCTGTTTAGCCTGGAGAAGAGAAGACTGAGAGGTGACCTGATCAATGTGTACAAGTGTCTGAAGGGAGGGTGTCAAGAGGATGGGGCCAGACTCTTCTCCGCGGTGCTTGGTGACAGGACAAGAGGCAATGGGCCGAAACTGAAACACAGGAAGTTCCACCTGAACATGAGGAAAAACCTCTTTACTGTGAGGGTGACAGAGCACTGGAACAGGTTGCCCAGAGAGGTAGTGGAGTCTCCTTCGCTGGAGATATTCAAAACCCACCTGGACGTGATCCTGGGAAATATGCTCTAGAGGCCCCTGCTTGAGCAGGGGGGTTGGATTAGATGATCTCCAGAGGTCCCTTCCAACCCTCAACCATTCTGTGATGCTGAATGTCAACTGCTGTTGCATCCTTGACTCATTTTTGGCACTAAAGAAAATGTGTTTCTATATACTCTTTTGTTCAAGAACACAGATTTTCTTATTGCATAAGAGATGATATTCTAAAATCACTTGCTGAGGCAAGGACAGTCTCATTAAGGGATATAAACCAGAGTTTCATTTATAAGTGGAGGATTAAACTCAATGCAACACCTATTTTTAAGCAATACGGTGATATTTCTTGTTAAAGTAGTATATGTAATATGACTACAGCTGAAAGAGAGGAATTGAGCTGGTGGAACTCAAAAGTAGAGCAAGTAAAGGACAGACACTTATTGCTGCACGGTTGTTTTACTGCCGCTAATCTGCTTTGACATGCAGCTTGTAAACACTTTTTGCAAATAGTCCTTCTCCCAACCTAAGTGTGTCAGGTTTAAAGTTCTCTGAAGTGAAACCAAATCACTAATCTGATAGTCTTTGGGGGCAACATCCACTCTCCCAATAAAACACCATTTCCATTATCAATATCCAGAAGACAAAACAGAATAAGTATTGTTTTTTAAGAGGAAAGCCATTGTAGTTCATACTCTGGAATGACTTAAGTCAACAATAAACTTTTGTCTTCATGATGATGTTAAAGTGCATGGATGATATATTACAATGCCATTCTGCCCTTTAGCAGGGAGTTCAGCTCCACTATGATTCCTTTTTAAACTTTTTTTTTTTTAATGGGAGAATGGAAAGTAGTTCTATTTGTAAGGTGTGGGAAGTAAAGCTATTTTAGGCTCAGAGCAGCTCATGAAAACCAATGTTACATGGCAGCAGCTCAGAAGATCTCCTTCTTTATCCCCCAAAATACTGGGCTGAGGTTTTGGCTTATGCAGTTTTAGGCGTTTGTGAACTCTGACCAAAGTAGCCAGTATGCAACTGAATTATTCCTAGTTGTTACTTGAACTGCTGATCACAGCTGCACGACAGTTGGATCCTCCTTCTTTCATGCAGCTGAAAAGGAACATGTAACCGCTGACGTCCAAATATGAAGAAGAATAAAGCCACCAGAACCTGCTACTTTCCACAGATCAGAAGTACTCTAGATTTCCATTGTCTTCCGTCATTTAGTACGAGCACTGCAATTTTTGTGGGCTTAAAAATCACACAACTTCATTCACTTTGTTAGTTTTTTAGGAAGCAAATGGGAGAAATCGTCTATGAACATCAGCAATTCCTTTCCTCATAGGCTGTGATATACATGTGTGCTAACTGTGAGAGAAAATGCAATGAGTCACACAGTGCTCAACCTACTAGGAATGTATCTTGGCCTTGTTCATCTTCAGGGTTGTCTAGAGAAGCAAAATGTAATCTTACGCTAACAGTAATATAACTAATTTATTCAGCAAGCAGGACACGATCATAAAACTCTGACCTTCGTAGGACTGAACTTACTTTTACTACTGAGTCTTTAATTTTGTATCGCTGTTTTCAAGTTAACTTTCAGCATTTTTTTGCTGCCACTTTGTGATCTACAAGGAGAATATAATTTGTTCCAGACACTGCAACTTTCAGATCTTACATCTCCTCCCCTCCCTGGGATCTGTTTGTAATAATTTGTGCTTTGTGTCTTCTCAAGCCTTAATATTCATTATCTAAAAATGAAGATGAGGCTTATTTGTTACTGGAAAAATAAACAAGCCTTAGACAGGACGGGTATTTACACGTGGGTGATTTTTCTCCAACACAGCCAATATTTTCTTTGTATAAATATATTAACTTGAAGATTATCTTGAGAATCTTTAAAAATTCAAAGCTGAAAATACCATAATTTAAAATGTTCTGTTTAAAATTTCCAGAAGCATCCTTCTGAAATTAGAATTATTCCTCTATTATCCCTCTATTAATGATAGAGGAATTCAAATAAAAAGCAACCTATGGAATCTAACAGTAAAACAGAACTAGTTTCAAAATCCAGCACT